ACCAGGTAACTTATTGGTATGTGGAATGCTGCTATGTTACTGAGGGCTAATGTTAGTTGTCATCCATCCACTATTAGCCGATTGGCAAACATCAACAAACTAATGACACTAAAGTCAACTACGAGTGACAACTCATATGGAGGACTTAATCCATGACTAGTGGCGTGTTAAAAACAGAATGGCTTCCACGTGGTCGTCCGCAATCCCCTAAAACCGGCCGGGTATAGATCAAGACGGCCTATCAGACGACATAGCGGACCTTACGCCAAGAGCACAAAGCAGTACGACTAGCTTTGAATTTGAGGTTATGGACAGATGACTGGCATCCTTATACCACATATTGATGACCATCCTCCAAACACAAGACCAGTCTTCATGGGCGACTGCTAAGTCCACATCTTGGTGATATCTTACGCCAAGAGGCGGTAGCAACACAACTTTGGTCCGCCAGAAGTCCTAAATCTCAATCCCATAGTGCATGTTTGGAACATTATGGGTCGCAGAATAGACCTGAGAGATCCGTCAGTACAAAATCTTGATGTATTGGAACAAGCCCTCCATCGAGAATGGAACGCAAAAGCTCAACGTCAAATTCAAAGTTTGATACAGTCATTGAGGAAGAGGATCAGGTATTGCGGTTGGCGGCGGTTACTCCAGATATCGGCATTGTGCTCGGTTATTGATAATTTTGTGATACCTTGAGTCTTGTATTCCAGGATCCTGAAACATGACCGAACGTGTTAATGTCATACGGTCGAGGTTATCACCACAACAAAATGAGTCAATGTTTGGCTATGTTTGCTCCCACATAGTAGTTTGGATACGTTTCTTTGATGTATTTAATGTAACATACTATGGAAAATATGGGTTTATGCGATACTTGTATCTATGCGTGTATTACATCAGACCTTTCCAAGGACAGGGCAGTAGGGTGTTATCATGATGGAATGAGGCAAATATAATCCTGTTTGTGTGTGCTCAAGGTCCAATGTAGCAATGCTGTAGGAGTTTGCTTATAGTATTTTGGTTAAGTCCCCATGGTCCCTAGTATGGTGATCTTCCTTCAGTTGCTGCTGGTCTCCAGCCAGTTTTTATTTTGTGTTGTCCATAATAGAGGTTTAATTTTAAAGCTCCATGGTAGTTTTAATTAGGGCTCCTTGCCTCTAGGCAGGAGACCTATTGTAATCGTTCGGATTATTATTTACAGATTAAAAAATGTATGCAGCAGAGAGGGTTCGGGTGATCCTGGCACAGTCAGGCTGGTAAGGCTCATCATCAGCTCAGGGCCCTTGCCCCCTCTACACGCAGCCCAGACAGCGAATGGGACTTCTCCCAGGAAACGCTGCCTAGTCGAACCCACCAAGAACTTTCCGGAGAATATGAAGGCTCCCCAACACTGCAGCCTTCTGCATTACCCAGAGTGTCAGAAGGGCTGTACTCCCGGTGGAGAACCCGGGCACTCTCCTGATCTGCGCCAAGAGATCAGGAGGTATCAAACCAAGGGCACCGAGAACAATGGGGAGCCTGACGACAATGTACTTTGGATGCAAGCGAGACATTTCAAAGGCGAGGTCCGCATATTTATCATGCTTTTCCTGAATCTTGCCAATCACATTGCTGTCAAAAGGGACAGAAAATTCAATGATATAAATAAATTCATTGGCTTTATCAAAAGGACAAGATCAGGTTTGTTAGCTGGAATTCTTCTGAGGCTGTATATGGGCCTATTCCACAGAAGTTTGAAAGCATCATTTTCCATGACGCCCTGGACATGTTCAGGGTCGTACCATGGATGGACCTCGGAGTCAAAGCCACAGGCATGTCGGAGACGGTAGTAAAACAGCGAGCCATGCCATCATGTCGTTTAAGATATGCTGTTTGTGCCAAGGAAGGGCATCCACTGACAAGGTGTTGGACAGTCTCTGTAAATTCATTGCAAAGTCGACATTTCATGTTAATATTCTCTTTAAGAATCACATTTAGGCGATTACGAGTGGGAAGTGACTGGTCCTGAGCAGCAAAAGGAAGCCCTCAGTTTCACATTTAAGACCGGCCGACTTCATCCAGGCGAAGGAGTCAGTGGGATTGCTTTTCTGTTCAACACACTGCATGTACACACGATGCAATGGCTTCTCAGAAAGCTTATCCACAAAAGACCGACTCTGGGCAGACTTGGTAAAGGACTTCACCTGGTTTACTCCCATCGCTGTACCGTCCAGCAGTACATTGCCTTCAACAAAGTCAACCTCAAATTTCAGATTCTGTCCAACAACCTTGGCACGCTTAAAATAGCTGTGGAATTCCTTGCTTTCATCATGAGTCTTCACATGCATCACCAGAGGATCATCCGATAAATAGATATGTACAAAAGTACACAATAAAATTCTGTCATGAAGAGCCTCCACATTAATCAAACCCCGACCTCCAGAATTGATTGGCATGTATAAACGGTTAAGAGAGGAACGAGGGTGGTGGGCTCTGTTATCAGACATGATCCTTCTGGTCAGACGGTCAAGACTCTGGATGTCTTGTTTTGTCCAATCAACTACTCCAAAGGAATAGGAGAGGACTGGCACAGCAAAAGTATTGGTGGCTTTGACCTTGTTACGAGCATTTAGCTCTGAGCTCCAGATTTTTCTTTAAACGAGATTTATACTCGGCCCGAAGTTTTCTTGAATCTGGGCATTCTGGAGCTTGTCTCGAACTTGCATTCCAAGATAGGTGTAGGCCTGATCTTCCACAAGATGCTCAATAACTCCTCCCCCTTGTAACCTGACCGATCCATCATTAGTTACCTTGCCACGTTTCAAATGAAGAGTATTACATTTGTCGAGTCCAAATGTCATACCAATATCATTAGAAAAGGACTCGACAAGGAGAACCTGCTCTTTCAAATTGGAATCTCCTTTGGCAAGGAGTTCGATGTCATCCATGTAAAGGAGATGAGTAAGAGGTGTTGGGGATCTGTGCTGAGGAGGTCCGGGATGGTAACCCTCCTCTTTATTGAGCAGAAAGCTCAAAGGATTTAAAGACAGACAAAAAAGCAAAGGACTAAAGGAATCCCCCCTGAAATATTCCCCTTCTGATTGGAATAGATTCCGAAGTCTGCACATGCCCTTGTGAGTACATCTCAAGTTGAGTTGACCAGCAACTCATTAAAGACTTGAGTAAATCAAGTAGTCGCTGAGGAAGGTCAATACAATGAAGAGACTTCAGAATCCATTCGTGAGGGACAGAGTCGTATGCTTTTTTGTAGTCAATCCAGCACATGGAGAGGTTGCGGTGATATGTTTTAGCCTCTTCCAAAATCATTTTCTGTACAAGAAGTTGATCCTTGCACCCCCAACATCCCTTTCTTGCCCCCTTCTGCTCTCTGTAAATGATATCATTGGAAGAGCAGTAAGATGACACGAGGTTTGTCAAACACCCCGTGAATATATTGTATTGTGTATTCAAACATGTGATAAGGCGGAAGTTTTTTGGGATCAGTCAAGTCTCCTTTCTTGGGGAGAAGTATTGTGCGACCTTTGCAGAACCATGGAGGAACATCACCTGTGTCCACGAGAGTATTGAAACAGTGCAGTAATGGTGTTTGGACACAGGGGAACAGTTTCCAATACCGGTTTCGAATGCCATCAGGCCCTGGAGCTGTATTAGATTTGGACTTTTTTATAACACTTTTCAGGCAATCTGGTGAGATGTAACAGACAAACGACCTAGTTACCTTCTCATGCATTGCATGATCATAATCACGGACCCATGGTGCCTCAAGGTTACAGTTGCCGGGTACAGATTTTGCTCTCCCAATGCAGCTTCAGCGACTTGCCATTGATTCGTGGATTTTCAGGCCATCCTGTCGCTCTCGCACACTCAAGTAGTGTGGTTTTAAGGTGGTTTGACCAAGATATTCTTGGTCGGGTTCTGTGCCTTCCCTGGGGCAAGTCCCATCTCCAGTGTGGTTGGTGTCACTACCGGAGGAAGGCTGACTGGGCTGCGGAAGTGAATTTAAACTTTCCTTTGGCTGTCTGTAACCCAGTAAAAACCAGCTTCGGGGGTCAGCCCTAACTGGGTGATGCACGTTTGGTTCAGGGAATATAATTCTCCTATCTAGGCCCACCACGAAGAGGTGTACATCATCAGGCCCTTCGGATTATTATTATTATTATTATTTATTTTATTATTCCGCCGATTTTTGTACCAAACATAACTCCTAAACCAATGCTCTGAATCGCTCACCAAAAATCACACAGATGCGCACCAAGGTGTAGATATTCCACTTAAAAATCTCTAGGCTCTTGGCCCAATAGCAAAAGGGAGATAATTCAAAATTAATTCCAAAATTTCAACGTTTGACAGCAAATATCTCAAGAACTAATTGTTTCAACACTTCCAAATTTCTTGTACAGATGCACAATCGAATTCCCAACAATTTTGCCTGGACGGGTCAAGTCGCTAAAACGTACCGTTTGGCAGTTATTTCTGTTTTCAGTTTTTGGCCATGTTTTTCAGCAGTTTTCTGAATAGTTTGCTCTCAAAATGTGCAAATTCTGCCAGTATGGTAGATGATGTCTTGGTGATTCTAGAACACTAATTGCTTTGACCGTAGACCCAAGAACAACTGAGATACGGCCTTTTAAAGAGGGAACTATTTCTTCTCCGGAACTTCTTAAAAGGTACATGACCCCCACGACCCCGGCTGTATTTGGGAGATCCGCTCGCCTGTCAAAACACGTGTTCTGGCTCCGTTTTGGACGATGATATCTAGCCCTCAGATACAATAGATAGAAAGTAAACCCAAGGAGACCTTATCGTTGCCTGCAACTATATTTCTCTATCTGTGATTATGTAGTCATTTTACTGTCCTTTGTCGACAGATTTTATATTATAACTTTATCTATTATCAATGTATGAATTGTTTTAGTCACGATATGCCTGAAATATTGCTGATGTGACTATAACTTTGACTCACTACTCGCTACATGCACTCACTACTTTGGTGCATGCCGTTGTCGTTTGATTACAGTGTTGTGGAGGAATCCATCCGTTGGCTATTTGCCGAAGATCGCAAGGAAGAGGCCCTACAGTTGTTGATACAGGCCGCTGAGATTAATCATGTTGATACCAACACGATATTAAGACTCTACTATGGTCATGTTAAGACCCTGAGTTCAAATGAAAGCAATGACAGTGTAAACAGCACTGGCGTGCCTGAAGAAACGACATCACCTACAGCTGCTATTGAACCACCCAGTTCAACAGTTCCAGATACAACATCAACATCATCGAGTACAGAGCAGCCCAAAGATGTAAAACCAACAATTCCTGAACATGAAGGTGCAGCATTGACAACAACGTCACCAGCAGATCATACAACACCAGCAGAGACAGCAGGGTCGGGTACAACAGGACCAGGGACGACAACATCATCAACTCGGGGAAGGCTGGTGAAGGCGGAAGAGCCCGAATCACGTGGTTGCCTCGGTATAGTACACGACCAACGCCTTCTGAGGCAGACCGTAATTTTCGCCTACGTGTGGTGAGTTGAGTGCAGTTTGTAATGTCTGTGTGTGGTGAGCTGAGAGGTCAAGCAGGCGACCTGTGTGTGGTGAGCTAAGAGGTCAAACAGGCGACACGTGTGTGGTGAACTGAGAGGTCATGCAAGCGACATGTGTGTTGTGAGCTGAGAGGTCAAGCAGGCGATCTGTGTGTTGTGAGCTGAAGGTCAAGCAGGCGATTTGTGTGTGGTGAGCTGAGAGGTCAAGCAGGCGATCTGTGTGTTGTGAGATTAGAGGTCAAGCAGGCGACTTGTGTGTGGTGAGCTGAGAGGTCAAGCAGGCGACATGTGTGTGGTGATGCTGAGAGGTCAAGCAGGCGACATGTGTGGGTGAGCTGAGAGGTCAAGCAGGCGACCCGTGCGTTGTGAGCTGAGAGATAAGAATATTAGAGTAGAGTCCCTTTCCATACACGAAGGGGACAAAACGTGTCTGTACGACAACACGTGTCATAATCGTGTGATTTTTCTTCAGGTCTGCTGTGGGCTTCTCCTTCCTGAGCTTGTACCTAGCGGAGACGGTGCTGGCCGACGATCTGTATCTTAACTTCTCTGTCAATGTGCTGTCGGAACTTCCAGCGGGGATCATCTTCGTTTTGGTGGTCGACAGGTTCTCTGCCCTTCTAGATAATACACGACTCTATAAGCCCGAACACTTGGTGTCATCACCGATCTTTTGTATTTATTGTAGTGTTTCTGGACACAACTCGGGTGAGCTTCTTATAACGCTTCTTGGTGTCATACTGCTTGCTTGTTGACAATACTCGTCAAGATGGCATTGGTCGATCTCATCAGAAGCATGCCTTGAATGGTTCCTGCTTATCTCATGGTTTTACCCGATATCAGTGACGTTGGCTGCAAAATGCAAATTCCCAGTTTGACATCCTTAGCCTCCACCATCAACCTCCACCATAGGGTGCCACCATTTCCTCACACCAACCACTAAACCTATTACATGTTATCGCCCACTCCCATGCAGATATGTCTGATATTTGCTACCATCCCCGAATTTTTTGGCTTGTACATAATTTCACTCATTACATACTATCTTATGATAGACAATACTATCTTATGATAGACAATGAATGATGGATACTAAGCATAGGAACTCGACACATCAGAAACTGATAGGTTAGTACGATATACATTAATGTCACATGTTCTCAAAGCCTGATCTGCAGTGCATGCTATACACATATCAAAGGACTGCGTCCTCCCATGGTCAGTGGTCAATGACGTTTGTGCTAAACTATGCTGTTATTGCTCTAAGCATGTTAGGTGCTCAAGGAAGAATTCTGTTTTTCTTACAGGATTGGTCGGAAGAACACAATGTTCCTTTTCTTTGGAACAGCCATAGCGTTCCTCCTCGCATGCACACTGGTTAAGGTTCTGGCAGGTAGGGCTGTCGACCTGACAATGTTTGTATAATAATTAAATACAATCTTTCACTTCTGTAAGGTGTACATGTTGATGTGTGGTTGTGTGCACAGAACGCAGATCACAAAGAAATGTTGGTCACGGAGAGTCCTTGGGTGGGTGACCGTGTTTGGCAGCTTGACTCCTAGGACTTCTGTCCTGCCCCACAACGAAGCACACATGTGGTCTCACATTATGCAAATTAGTTTGTTCAAAATTGCCTCTGTCCACCCAGCAGAAAATGGGTACCCGGTGGGATAAGTCATATGACTATTAACCTTCTAGCGCCTCACAGTCAGCTTGGGTTACCCGGGGTAATAATGTTCATCATGTTGTATGCTCTTATAGCATGTCCCTGTGACACTATATAAGTGGCCACATTATTTTTTACACTAAAACTGCTTCACATTACTGATACCGATAGATGCTGCCATCCAAGCCTGTGTGGTGCCTGTGCTGGGACTAATCGGGAAATCTGGTGTTGCGGGGCTACAACTGACGCTATTCCTGTACACTGGAGAAAGCTATCCTACAACTTCCAGGTAACCTACCTACCCGTATTTTCCTGGAGTGATTCTCTCAATCTGACTAATTGCGTAATTCGGTTTCCCTGTTGTCATTCCCTCAATCTGACTAATTATGTAATTCGGTTTTCTTGTTAGCACTCTCTCAATCTGACTAATCATGTAATTTTGTTATCTTATTTTATCCTTTCAGATTGATTGGGCTTGGCATCAGTTCTTTGGCGGCAAAGTTCGGAAATCTGGGTGCTCCGTTCGTGTTCTTTTTTGTAAGTATTTTATGCGAGATCGTCTCTGTAACATTCCAAGTCCATGTCCAGCCCACACGTGTGTACCTGTCATTATCAGTTAAAGCTGCACTACTGCATGCAACACAGGGGTGAATATCAGAGTTAGAAGAGGTCTTTAAGAACCCATGCTTGTTGCAGGAGGCGACTAACAGGATCGAACTTTAAGGCTTCCTATTTGACAAGAGCATGTCATGGCATCTCAACTTTGTAGATATATGCTCATTATATACTCAGCAGCAAAAAAACGTCAGTACGAATTCAAAATTAGACAGGCACTGTAATCAAATCATTACAGAAATGGACATAATAAGCGGATCAAAAACATTTTTTGTGTACAATATCAATGAATAACTCAGCATTATGTCAAGACATTACGTGAACGTTTGCAGTCCATTCAGACCTTGACTTCAGTATCTACTGTGACCACCTCGAGCGGCAATAACTGCAGCACAGCGTCTATGCATGGAGTACACCAATTGATTGATGAAGGCTATTGGCACCTTGAACCACATCTGAGAAATGCCTGGCGTAATAAATCGGCTGTGCTCGGCCTTGGTATGGCATTATTCAGTCTCCTATGAAGTCATCCTAAAGATGTTCAATTGGGTTTAAATCAGGACTAAGGGCTGGCCACTGCATAATGTTGACACCGTTCTGCTGTAGGAAGTCCCATGTAGCTCTGGCAGTATGGGCCCGGGCGTTATCATGCTGGAAAATGTTGTTCCGGTGACGTGCGAAATGTGGTATGACGTGGGGTCTGAGAGCTTGGTCAATGTAGCGCACCGCTGTAATGCCGCCTACTCTCCCTGGATCAAGGTTCTGGAACACCACAGGACCCACTCTCTGGTTCAGGCCTATTCCACCCCATACCATCATGCTTGCTCCTCGCCATGAGACTCTTTCCATAACACATTGGTCTGAGTAATGCTGGCCACGTCGTCGCCATATTCTTGTTCTGCCATCTGCAGTTGATACGCAGTACCGACTCTCATCTGTGAACAGAACAGTTCTCCATTGCCTGTATTGCCAGTTTTGGTGTTGTAGGGCAAACTGTAGATGTTCACGCCGATGACGAGGGGTGAGGATAGGTCCATGGTAAGGTCTACGGCAATGGAGGTTCCCGCTGTTAAGACGTCGGCGTACTGTATCAGTACTGATGGGTCTTCCGTGGGTTCCCACTGTCTGGTGTGCTGTTTCGGATGTCTGCATGTCTGTCGCACAACATGGCGGTCTTGTCGTCTTGTGGTCACCCTTGGTCTGCCAGTACGGGGGCGATCATTTGTGGTGTTGGTGGCCCGGAAACGTTGCTGCAGCCTGTAGATGGTCCGAACGATGAAGTACGAATTACCCCTCAGACGATGACAAATTGTCTGCATGAACCATAATTCCATACTCGACGGACATGTTTTCTTCCGCCATTTACAATTTGTCATTTTGCCAACAAACGCCAGAGGTCTACACAACGTCAAACTGGTCATGTTTTCAGATGCAAGTTTGCATTTACTTGATCGGCGCGATCGTATCTGACGACGTCGAAATTGACGTCAAGGCAATGTCAGCCTGAGACCTAATCTATGATTTGCAAGACGTGTGTGTCGACGTCTTGTCTTACCGGAGGACCACGCCCGTGCACCCCATGCGTTTATGTTTTGTTTTGTTTGTTGTTTAACGCCGCACTCAGCAATATTACAGCTATTATATTTTACATATATAATTATGTAATGTGGCCCCAGTTCGTTCATCATTATCAAACAACTATTTCTTGAAACTAATGTATCTTGCAATGTTGAAAATCCGAACTTATTTCCGAGTGTTTCCCAATTTATAAAGAGTATGCAGTAAACATATGTCATTGTTCCCATTCCAGGAGGACACCATCCCATGGCTCCCGACGGCGCTGATTGCGATCCTACTGCTGATAGCCACCTTGGCTATCTTGCCCCTGCCGGAGACGCAAGGGAACGACTTACCAGAGAGTGTCCACGATGGTGCCACGATATACGAGACATGATGCAATACTACCTCTGTAATCAACGTTTGCCATAGCAACACGTACATCAGGCAATGAAATATGCAATATCTGCTCTTTCTACCAGGCATATGCACATGCAATGGAAGAATGTGTATCAGTATCAAGGCGTGAATTAGCAACACGTATATCAGGCAATAAAATATGCAGTATCAGTATTTTTATCTCTCAGCACAGCAACAGCAACAAGGAAATGGAGTTTAGCGCTAGCATGCTATTTGCAATCACAACGCGGAATGAATTCAGCTTACTGTAGGCCTTTGCTGGAACATTGCTCAAAGTTAAAGAAAAAACTGAAGTCAACCTTGTTGTCAAATGTTTTGTTGAGAAGTTTTAAAATAAACAAAGAAGTTTTAAAATAATAAAATATTGAAATATGAAAGAGACGAGCGCTTGTTTCGGATGCTTGACCACTGTTCCACCTTTGCAAATATTACCGCCTCTGTAGTCATTGCTGCTGTTACCGTACCAAAATCCTAATGCCTTTGAATTTTGTTTTGTACAGCCATTGTAATTACATCGAAATTTTGTCAACCAAATTTTATAATAGAATTGTTAATTGTATAAAACTGAATTGTTTTGCGTTTAGTTTTCTTGGTTAACGTCTGTATCAGTTTGAAAGGCGACATGTAACTTTCTGTGAGACTGCCGCAGCGCAACGAGTGAACATTTATAGTTTGGGGCCCCTATTTTCGAGACGCTTGTAGCCCTACGAACTTCCTAAGTCCATTCTTAACGATAATAGGAAAAACTCCTTGGTAAAAAGGCCTGTTGTAGTAATTGGCTACGATCATAAGAATTCTTAGGGCTACGAACGATTCGTAAATAAGGGTCTCCGTTTGACGACTGTCGTGCCTCCATAGACTTACGACAGGCAATATTTACATAACCTCATTTAGCCTAAAAATGCACAATACGTGAAATGAATTCAATTGATTATGTTGTAAAGACGAAAGTGGTCGATTTCTCGGCTTTTCCTATTTGCGCCGAAAGACGTGCCAAGAAATGCTTCATATGTAAACACTATATAATGCGTCATGACCAAGTGATATATGGGTTATAATCCATGACCATTCAGCTTATAAGACAAGTCGATTTCATAAACATTTACCACTTGGAAATATCAAAATCTTACGAAGATCAACTACCGGGATCGACTGTCTATCGAGGAAATGGTAGTTGATGACGACTCACTTCCGGTTGAGCATAGACAGGGCATACCCCCTGTGTTACTGTCGTCTGTTCGTTCTGGAACCATTCGATGGTCTTTAAATATTTAATCTGTCATTATGTGTGATTTCTTCGTGTGTGTTTTTTTTACATCTTTCATGTCAATCTTATCAAATAAATAACAAAATCAGTTTTTACTACAGATCAAAGGTCAGTTTAGATATTTAATCCGTGAGCTCACTATGTTATTTTAGATGTCGTTTAAACGATCAAACATCAATTTAAAACATTAATCTGTCATTATATGTGATTTGTTCATGTTGGTGTTTTTTTTAAATCTTTGATGTCAATCTTGTCAAATAAATAGCTACATCGGGTTTTTTACTGAAAAAGGTCTTTTTTACCGGTACTTTTTACAAAGGACTATTTTACCGAGGACATTTTTCCTATAATCTTCAAGTACACATTGTATTCTGCTCCTGTAAAAGAAAACGGAAACTCCTTACCTCTGCTAACAAGTCTGATAATGCTACTGGATGTTTACGGGTGCCTGGTTTCTTTCTGTACCATGAACAATAGTGGTGATAAGTTACTGACAACTGAGGTCGGTACTTATGCACACAGGCCCTCGTGTCTTTGCAAGGATTGAAGATTTACAAAAAAAATGCTTTTGAGATGACCCCCGACTCGAAATGTTTCATAGTATATATAACTTTATTCAGTAGAAAGCCCACAGGCCCATGTACAATATATATTACAATACCAAAGGTATGATGTGCACAATAACTAGAACATATTTTTATATATTCACAATAATAATGCGCTACGTCGCATAAATGCTTCCTTAATATAATTTGCATACATATATAAATAATTGCTATTTTCATTTTGAAGAAGGCGAATGAGAGAGTTTCTATCTTTACAGTCAATATTTAACATGCATCCTGTTCTTAAATCATCATATTGTGGGCAAATAAACATAAACTGAACCTCATCTTCTAAAATGTTCTTACAAAATGGACAAAATCTTAATTCTCTTGTGATATTATTTTTTCTACCTGTATTCTTCATAATATTTAATTCACCGAATCTTAAAGTGATAGAAATCTTCTTAAATCTTTGTTATATAATGTTGACAAGTATGATTCCATATTAAACGTACTTTTGACACATGAATAAAACTCTAAATTAGGATGTTCATTTAACATAGAAAATATACACTGGATGTTACAATCTTTAACTCGTTGAGAAAAATGTTTAAAAAATATATCAGTGTTAACAATATTTTGAAACTACCACGCATAGCTGAAACCATAAATATAAATTAATTTCCTCACTTCAGTTACCCATGACTTGCGGTTAATATCGTCCATTCTTTTTAACATAATATAGGTTTGTTTTGGATATCTAGTCTCTTCCATAATTAATAATTTACACCAGTACTTAACACATCTTATTATAGAATCACGACATATATGATGAAGACCGCATTAAGATAAAACAGCTGCATTTGTTGTGGTAATACCAACACCAAGAACATATTTACAATAGTTTACATGAAATCTTTCTAGAATTAGCCACTCTTAAAAACCCCATATTTCTGAGCAATATAATAAGATAGGCTTAATTTGTGTATCAAACATTTGAAATAAGACAGTAGGAGGAAGATTTTTCATTTTATGATGAAGCTGTTTAATTGGGAAAAGGGCTTTATTAGCTCTCTGAAAGAGAGTCTGGACTGCTTTTGACCAAGATAGTCTGCTGGAAAATAAAATACCCAGATAGCTGTAATAGCATGTAGTTTTCAACTTCACATGGTTAAACATCCACTTTTCGGTCTTCTTCACTATACCTCCGTTGCGAAAAACAATTATCTCTGTTTTTGTAAAATTAACCGTTAAGCCCCATTTTGTGCAAAATTTGGATAAAATATTAATCTTTCTTTGTAAACCTATAACTGTGTCAGAAAATATACATAAATCATCAGCATAGAATAATAAAAAGAGCTCTAAACATTCTGCTCCAACAAAAATACCACTTTCGTCATACGATGTAAGATCCTCTTCAAGTTGTTTTACAAACATACTAAATAATAATGGACTGAGTATACATCCTTGTCGTACACCACTCAAGGAATTGAAATATTCTGAAATGCAAGAATTTGATTGTGTTACAGCTGAAATTGATTTATTGTACATATCACGCACTATTGACAGCATTTTACCACGGATACTGTTTTGAGAAAGAACATACTGTTATAGGGACTAATTCAGGACAGCCATCGTCCAAATATTTAAAAACTAAAAACTATGTACTCAAGACATGTGAGACTTTATTGTATATATATATAACGCTATATATATATATTGTAATATATATATGACGCTAACCTGTATTTTTAATCACTACTGTACATCCTTATCACTACCGCATTGTAAATTGACTTGTCAGCCCATTAAATATTGTATAAGACATTTATAACCTTCATTGGTAATCCCCCTTGGCCGTGTCTGCCATCACATCAACTGGTCAAGGACGTGCTATTGTTTTTCTGTCTGTCCATTGATGAGTCGTCCATTGTTGTCAAAAACTGTATATATACTTAGTATGCTCACATCTAGACAGTGAAGGAGTCGAGTCCGGTATACCGCCTGCTTGTGTAAGGACAACCACGAGCAGGATAATGCCGCTCATAGGAAACGTGCTGGGGTTGAGCAGGTACTCCGCTCACCACATTTATGTCTTGTGTATTTGTTTGTCATGTAACTAAAGAAGTTTGAACTCAACTATGCCGTCGTCTTCATCAACGCACACTTCATCTTAACATGAGCTAATTCCCCAGTCGACGCATATCCACGCGTTGACAATTTAGTTGTTATAGGGACTAATTCAGGACAGCCATCGTCCTGAATTAGTCCCTATAACAATACCATAATAGATCTCTATTTACACAATCAAATGCTTTATGAAAATCAACAAATAAACAATAAAATCGACCTTTAGACTTGGACAAGTATTTTTGAATTAAAGCATGTAAGGTAAAAACATTATCAACAGTTGAATAGCCTGAGCGGAATCCAGCTTGACATTCTGGATATTAATTATACACATCAACAAATGCTTTCAGTCTTTCATTTAAAATGTAAGTGAATATTTTTCCGCATATGTCCATCAAGGAAATACCTCTATAGTTATTAACATAATTTCTGTTCCCCTTCTTGTGAAGTGGGAAGATAATACTTTGTGACCAAGCAGAAGGAAAGTCTCCCGAGTTAAATATACAATTAAAAAGTACATGCAAATAAGGTAGTAAAATATGACCTCCGTGTTTCCACATTTCAGGAGGTAGTCCATCAGGACCACATGCTTTGCCAAGTTTTAAAGCTGATAATGCATTTGTTATTTCATTTATGGTTATCTCTTTATTTAGAATATTATAAGAGTCATCATCAATCAATGTAAATTCATTTTTCAACATATACTGTTTGGCAAAGGTTATAAAATCTTCGTCTATGTTAACATCTTTAATGTTCAGAATATTTATAAAGTAAGCGACCCATTGCAAACTGCTGATAGATGTAGCCTGTGTAACCGGTTTACCTAATAATGACTTAACACCAGACCAGAATGTTTTATAGTTACCATCCTGACATACTTGTAATAATTGTATGGTTGTAAACTTGTGATACAAATCACACTTCCTACGGCAAACTTCTCTGTATTTGTTTCTATAAATTCTAAATTCGGTAAGATAGTTGAAGTTCCCTGTGACTCGGAATTTATCTAATGCTGAATACTTTCTTTTCTTTAAA